CAATATGCTGACTCTTTAAATCACTTAGAGAGGGCTGTATAGCACTGTGAAGTCTACGTGCCATTTCTATTTATATAACCTGAAATGGGTTCAAAATAAAAACAATTAACTTAGCTAAGGTCTACTGCTCAGGACTGAAGAAACTTAGTATACAAGTAGTATTCAGTTTACAGCCATTGGGTTAGTGACTATTCAAAGTTTTAAAAGCACTGCAAAAAAAATGACTGATGATCATTTTCACAATTACAACCATGTCATCAAAATTTGGATGCTTGGCAACTGGTATTTATTTATGACTCTCAGTATCGCATGGTCATGTGATCACCTTCTGAGACCTTCTGACAAGCAAAATCAACGGAGAAGCCCAATTCATTTAACAATAATGTTACTAACTTAAGAGCCACGGTGGCTCAGTGGTTAGAATGCAGTACTGCAGGCTATGACTGTTGGCTGCCTGCAATTTGGCAGTTCAAATCTCACCAGGCTCAAGGTTCATTCAGCCTTCCATCCTTCCAAGGTCGGTAAAATGAGGGCCCAGATTGTTGGGGGCAATATGCTGACTCTGTAAATCACTTAGAGAGAGCTGGAAAGCACTATGAAGCGGTATATAATTCTAAGTGCTACAGCTATTAACAATTGCAGTGATTCACTTAGCAACTGTCAAGAAATGTCATAAAATGGGGCAAAACTCAACTGTTTCACTTAACAACAGAAATTTGGGCTCAGTTCCATCATTAGTTTTGAGAAGATCTGGCAAAATGTTAGAAGTTTTGAAGTTTCAATGTTTGTTTAATGGCCCCTGTCTTGTTCTGTGGAGTTTGTTATTGTAGCATTTTAGTCCAGGCTGTCTGTTGATTTAATACCCTCAGCTGGTTTTATGGGGTTTTTTTTTTAGATTTGTAGTATACAAGGCTTAAAACACAGAAAGAAAATGGAGGAAGAAAGATCTCAGCTCTGCAAAATAACTTTCTGAAAGTCCAGTCTCATTCACTTTATATTAGTTTAATCAAATCACTATAAGCTTTATCAGCAATCCTCTCCCTATACCCCCAAAAGTAGTGCCAGCTACCATATAGGAACTTGAGATGAGTTCTCCATTTCTAAATATATCCATGCAGAATATATCCATGCTATTGTAGGTTGAGGCCACCTAGATTCAGGCACTGAGCCAGCAATTGATATGGTATCCAAAAAAAACCCCGTTCCCTTTAATCATTTCTAATGCTACTGAGAGTTCATAGTACTTCAATATTTAGAAGTACCAGCCTGCTTCTGGATTTTCAGCCTCTGTGGTACCCTAAGTGTCACTGGTCTGGTTCTGCCAAGATACTAACCAAAAATTGGGCTTGTCTCATCTATTATCAGGATGTTGTTAAGATATGCTGGCTTAGAGGAATGTGGGTATCCAGTCTTTAAAACAGATGGTCAACATCTTGTCTGAGCAAGGAAGTGGCTGCTCAGTTCTTCTTAAGTTGTTCTTGACTGACATTTCAAACTTGCTTGGTTTGAAAAAGAGAGACGGATGTATCCCTAATGCAATTTAATTTCATTCACCCAAATCTTTTTTAAGGCATCACAGTTTTGCTTTCAAGTGCATCTTTCTTTCTTTTTTTAAATATCTTTTATTGAGTTTCCTTTGTTATATCATATACATCATAGTTTCAACAGCATTCTTGACATCTATACAGGTTCTTAACTTAAATATCTTAACACATTATATTACATTTGTCTAATATTGGATAATAACTTTAACTATAATTATTATTCTTATTTCTTGTATAGTTTACACTCCTTTCTCTTGGTATTCAAGTGTATCTTTCTTTCCCTCTACAGATTTCTGTCTTCCTTTTTTCCTTTTGCATAACTACAAAGTCCCTTTAAATCTTCATTTCACTTGTAACTTTTTTGAAAGTATAAATACTGTATATTATCCACAATAGACAGTGGAGCCTTTGCTGCTTTCTAAGTTTGCTTGGTTGTTTGCTTGTTCTCCAAAGAAAACAACATCCTAATTGAGGAACTACCAAGGAGAAGGCTACTTCCCCACCAACGATGAGAGGGCAAATTACTATATTTAAACACGGAGCAAACTCCACAGTCACTCACACTGATGATAGTACCTAGTCAGGTAATGAAATGCCTGCAAGCCAACACCAAGCTCAGACAGTGTACCAAGAACTCCACAGTTCAACCCCTGAACTACAAACATTCTCTTCTATTAGAATAATAGACAGTATTATTCTCTTAATTCTCAATGTCATAGGATGCAATCTGATCTTATCATTATTTCATACACACAAAAGTACACGAAGGGGAATAAGGGACCATTTATTGTATCAACACCGACTCATATCCTGCTGTAGAAATGTTTTAGGCAAAGATATAGCAACAAAGATACAGACAACCGTGTAGACTACATCCTTATCAGAGTTACTGATAACTTCAATTATGTGGGATTTGATATAATCAGGCTGCCCTGTAGTGTTTTGATAATTTTGAAACTCTGAAATTGAAACTTACCCTCTCTATATTCTTTGAAAAAATGTGACAAGAACTATTACCTGTGACAAAAGCTACTTCGAAGATTTCTATTAAAACTACCAGATTGTATACTGGAAATTGCAACATTTCTTTCTGTTGTTATATAGAATCCCTTTCCCTTTCTTGCTTTAAAAATCCTTTCTAGTTCACTTGGCATTTAATGGCAGTGGGTTACCAACCCTTTTGAGTTAGGACTTTTTGGGTCCAAATATTATTGACTTGCACAGAGCCCCTTTGTTTTAATATATCCAGAATAACTTGGATAATTATTCATTTTTTAGAAATGTATAAGAGTGATACATTTACAACCTTGTAAATTATGAAGTTTTATCTCAAGCCATAATGCCTGCCGCTTGGCACAAATAATTTCTTCTGGGTTCTGCATCTACCAGTTTTGCCTATTTTGAATGGATGCTTCCACTGCAGTTAATGAAGAGATAACTAATATATATGAAAATTAACAAAAGCAGTGAGTGAAAGCCAGTTTGGTGTAGCATTTTATGGCACCAGACTAGAAATTGGGAGAACATGAGTTCTAGTCACACCTTAGAAATGAAGCCAGGTAGGTAAACTTGAATTAGTTAGCCCCTCTTTCCCAGCCTTTCTGAAGACTTGTCAAGAAAGCTGTAGGCCGAGTCTCCAGGAGTTACCATTGTATCTAAGTCACATAGACACACACACACACACACACACACACACACACACACACACACACACAGAGCAGGGAGAATGGTATTATGCACATTTATGTGCAAGAAATTTAGTAAATTCCAGCCACAAAAACATGCCAGTACACACACAATGAAAAAGCATGTGAATTATATTGAAACAGTAGGTCTGTGAATCTAACTCAACAGCACTACACTTAGGTGTATATACTGCACCATTGTGTTTTATAGCATTCTCTGGGTGGTTTATAATGTAGGCATTATTTGCATATTACCGCCAACAATATGTGTTTTCATTTTAGAAAGCTCAGAAGGATGGAAGGCTGAGCCAACTTTGAGCCCTGTCAGAATCAAACTCCAGGCTGTGGGCAGAATGTGCCTGCAATACTGCACTTTGCCCACTGCGCCACCAGGGCTCTAACATCTTACATTCACCAAGGCACCGATTGATAGAAGTCAGCATACGGATAAGAGAGAATAATTCATCATACAATTTATGCTAACATTTTTTGAATTAGTCTCCAATGATGGCCACTAGCTATGATCATATCAATTCATTGAGGATGATTTCATAGTAATCTAGAATCTCCTTACTCAGAATTTCCAACATCAAGGGGAAACATCAATTTGGCCATGACGGTGAGCAGTTTCTTATACCATATAACCCAATCATGAATATCCTAGTTTATCCATTATTGCTGACCTTCAATTTCCTGCCATCTCAGCATCGCCAGAAAAAAGGGATGCTAGTATTACAGTTAACAACATCTGAAGACCAAAGATTTCTCAATACTAAGATAGAACTTGGGCAATAGGGATGTTCCCTTTTGTTTCCCTTTTGTTTCTTTATAATATGGGTGTGTAATTTTTTTTCCAGTTCACGAACTACATTCCTCACAAATAGTAGAAGAGAACAAGATGAGATATAAAATCAATTTTCTTTTACATTTATATATAATTGTAATTAAGCATGCCTTACGTTTATTATCTTCCTTTCAATCACATTTAAAATTACACGATGGCAAAAACCTTGAGAAGTCTCCAGGCCTCTTGAAAATTTACAGTTCTGCTGTGTTGTACAAAACTGATGCAAAAATTGTACAGCTGTGAATCAACAGTCGATGTCCAACTTTCCAAGACTAGCAGGTGACTGGTACAGAAGAGAGATGGCTTTTCAATGAATTTTCACCCTAAACCAAGCCACTGTTTGTATGACAATAACTTGTTGAATAAGTCACAGTACACTAGGGTATGAACCAGGATTTATAAAATACAATGGCTGTTGAATAAGTCACAGTACACTAGGATATGAACCAGGATTTATAAAATACAATGGCTGAGTTAATATGTTAATCTGAAACTAAGTTTATGACTTAACATATATGTTTTTAGAAGGGCCCTAAATAATTTATAAAACAAAAGGATTTAGATAAGAACTGTTTTGACACCTAGATGGAGTTGAACCAGAGAGAAATCTCCGACACCAGAAATACACATTCTACTACTAATGTGCATTCCTTCCCCCAAAATGGATTAATCACATTCTGCAACTAGCTGTTGCTTCTGAGTCTACGCAAGACTCCCTCTATAACTTCTGCTGGTTTAAACAGTAATCCAATGCATCAAAGAGCAGAAAATTGACTTTCTGAAAGTGTTGCAATTAGATTATTTGTAAATGTATTCAAGCTGCAATAGCTTCCAACACATGTTGATCAGAGTTAATTAAAGATCCACAGGAGATCTGATCAGTAACCGACAAGGCCATTTGCTCCACATGCATTATAGGAGTACATGGAGATATTAAAACACACTTGCTATGCAATTAATAAGATCTGCATGAAAAAAAAAAAAAAATAAAAGATATGCCCCCCCCCTTTTCATCCTCCCTTGTTTTGTCATTGTACTTTTTGATCCCCATCTCTATCTATTATAGCTTTATTGATAGACCAAGCAGCAACCATTTGCATCTCTGGGTTTATTTCTATTTAATTTATACTGGAAGATCCAACAGTATTTTCAATTATCCAGAGCCCACTTTAGCAATGCTCTGAAAACAAGTCTGGCCAGTTCAATACTTTACCTTGACTTCATTCCATTCACAAATATGGAGCAACCAGATAATTATGTTAATGGCCTACATTAATTTGAGTACCTAGGATGGATTATACAGAAGTTTGTCTAGTCTAGAATATCTTCTGAAACATAGCCCCAAAATACACTTCTGGGAAGATCAAAGAGGACATGAAGATGATAGGTTTCTCCTTTCCTACTGCCACTCGGAGGTATAGTTTGCTCCATGCATACACTATGGAAATAAACTCTTGGCAGACTAATATGACTTTGTATAATCTTCTTTTGACCGCCTATGTCCTTCAAACACAGCTGCTGCTCACAAACTTAATCCCCACTCCACATCTTGCGGTAGTTTGCTTTTCCACCTGGCTTACAGATACAGCAGAGAACATTTTAGTCAGCTCTAGCAAGAGAGACTGGAAAATAAGAGGGATGACAAGTAAATTCCATGAGAAAAGCACCTCAGTCAACAGTCAAAGCACCTCAGATCAACTGCTTATTGCACTCTGGCATCATTTAAAAATGGCCCAATCCCGCTGGTAAAATTGTGGTAAATTTTCCACAATGACTGGAGTAGCAGTAGATTGAAGGAATTGTGGGAGATTGTGGTAGTCACCAATGGAAACAATTGTCTTGGCACAATTAAACTGCTTCTATTCACTATAATGGTGTTTTTGCTGAATTGCTGAAAGGAATTGGTCAGTGCTCTTTCTCTACTTGAAAATACCCCTGCTATAAACGATAAAATAGTGCAACTGAATTGTGGTGTCTACTCAAGTCTTCTACCATACAGACAGACTAAGCCCAACTCTGCAATGAGACAAACCAAAGAGGAAAGGTGGAAATGAAACAGTGACATAAAGTAGTAATGCCACATTTAGAGTACTGCATCCAATTCTGGTCACTATTATTATAAAGAAGAACAATGGAAAGAGTACAGAGAAGAGAAACAAAGATGATTAGAAGGCTAGTGGCTAAAACATATGAAAACCAGTTGTAGGAATTGGGTTTGTCTAGTCTAGTGAAAAGAAGGATTAGGGTGACATGATAGTAGTGTTCCAATATTTGAGGTGTTGCTACAAAGAAGAGGACGTCAACCTATTTTCCAGAGTACCAGAAGGAAAAGGCAAGAAACAATGGATGGAAACTAATCAAGGAGAGAAGCAACCTAGAACTAAGAAGGAATTTCCTATCAGTGAGAACAATTAACCAGTGAAACCACTTAGCTTCAGAAGTTTGTGGGTACTCCATCATTGGATGCTTTTAAGAAGAGACCGGGGCTGTCACTTGCCTGAAATGATATAGGGTCTCCTGCTTGTGCAAGGGGTTGGACTAGAAGACCTCCAAGGTCCCTTCCAACTCTGTTATTCTGTTGGTTGAGTCCCTGCTGTACAGCTCAGAATGTGAGAAATAACACTTAATGATACTTAGGATGTCTGAAATTTCACCACTTTCAACAGGAAAAAAGGAAAGTTGTTCCATGAATAAGGAAATAGCAGTGAATCAAAAAAAATAGCATGGAGGGAGGGAAGGAGGGAGGGAGGGAGGAAGGAATATTTTAAAAAGCTGGGGGAAGGAGGAAACAAAGACAAAAATAAAAGACAAAGTATTTCCACAACACTCCAGCAATGATAAATTAAACCTGACAGCACAAATAGCAAAGAATGGCCCCTTTTCCATGCCAAAATACTGGTAAATAAAAGGAAATGCAAATTTGCTCTGGGAAAGGTTGGGTAAAAGTTGGCCTCTGCTGTTAGTTCATGTGGATAGCTGTGGCTAACACAGATGCCAAGCCACAGGAAACAGTAACCAGGATTTCATTTGGCAAAAAGCTCCATCCAAATAAAAGGAAAGAGGAAAAAAAAAAACCCTCTGATTACTAGGCATCAAAGGTGTTACATCAGGATGAAAGAAAACAAAATGAAGTGTTTTTTTATCCCCTTTGTTTTTGTAAGGTTAACAAAGGAGCATGACTTTTCAATTATCTGGGGGAGGTATCTTGTGTAACCCAGATCCCGTGGAGTACCACTGAAATATTCATCTGAATATGGCGGCAGTTCCTTTTGGATCTTTTCTTTTTTTAAAAAAAACAGAGCTTGGTCTATTTTCTGATTTACAATTATCATTTTGAACAATTTTTAAACAGATTATTTTAATAAAAAAAATTACATGGAAACCAACATTACAAAACAAGATGGCCGATATTATTTCCAGTAATATCTCTGGGCCTAATTTAAATTCATAGCAAATCATTGCTTTGTATCTACTACCTGGGTGGGCGGAAAAGCATTCAGATAATTAGAGTTAGTACAGCAGAATCCAGGCAGGGAAAACAAAAAATGATCGCCAACTGTAATGGGCTGTGAAAATAACCTGGACGAAGAGAGGGAACAGTGGCAGCCAAGGTAACAGTAAGATAAAGAGATATCTGAGTCAAAGAAGGAATGTAATTTGAGAAAACACCTCAGGCTTTACCTTCCAAGTTCCCTTGAGGATAAAGGCAGGGAGGAGGGGAGGCAGATTCAGAGTTGCAAACTTCTGTTATTATAACCTTATAATAAAAGAAGTTTTGCTATTCATAACTTTGCTGTCCAAATCTGGTCTACCTCAAAGAGATAACACCAATATCTGCTAAGCATCTGTTGTGTGTCTGCTCACATTTATCATGAGGTGAATTTTCCATTTTCCATACCTCTTGTCAGCCATTTGATGAGAATGCTCTGGAAATTACAGATATGCTCTCTGGACCAAAACAAAAAAAAACCTCTCTCACTCTGTAGAATTATCAAAATATTTTATGAAAACCATGAGGAGAATGTCTATCCTGTAAGTTTATGCTCAAGCAATTTGAAAGCTTTCCACGTTTTGCACTATACCTCTCATCCCATGAATGGGAAACTGCTGGCTGAGTTTCACTACAGTTCTAGTTCAAAATATATAAAGGTCATTCATGATGTAAAACTAGAAGTAAAGGAGGAAAGAGGTAAAAATGATAGGGATACCTACGTAGTTGAAAATGCTGTTAAGACGTTTGTGGCTGGCCTTGCACAACATGCTGAACTAGGCAAGAATAAGCCATAAAATGATTTATGTGTTTCGCCAGAGCATGTTATATGACCAAAATGTTGCTGGATATACAACTTCTGATTGACACTGAATACATACTAAATACTTCAACAGAATATGAGATCGGTCTAAACATGACCTAAAGAGGATTTGCGTTGCAAAATGGTGGCAAGGTTTCCTTCTTCTGAGAATGAAACAGATTTTTAAACCTAGGCTCAGATGTTATGTAAATCATGTCAATGAAACTTTGCTACAATTGGGGTAGAATGTTAAATTAAAAATTTCATGGATTTTTGTACATTTTATAAGCCATCTTTCATGGTTGTGAAATGTAAGTTTTAAGAAGAGGAGGTACTACATGGGATACCATTAGATGCATAAAAATAGAGAAGTATGGGGCTAATTATTAATGCTGGACTTAAGAAAGATGACAGCAGTGTTTCACAACCTTAGCAACTTTAAGATAGGAAGTGAATGAGGCTGGTTGGGGAATTCTGGGAGTTGAAGTCCAAATACCAAAATGTTGCCAAGATTGCAATTGCTGGACTAGACAGAATCAGCAAAATCTTGCTAAAATGGTCTATTCAGAAAAGTCTAAAGAGGAGGACCTGTAAATTTGCAAACAGACATACTAATCTATTTGAAATTCCAAGTAATTCAAGCAAATGTGCTTTTGAATTTGCTTTACAGTTTAAGTCACGGGCATCTTATCTTGAGACTAAACATTTATACTCTTATATCTCTGGAGCTTTTGGAGAAAGAGGCTAAAAACAGAAGAAGTAAATAAAAGAATTCATCTATGGTTTAAATTGCAATTAAAACAATAGAAAGCCAGCATCTGGCCTCATATTTTCTAGTGTTCTTCATTGTTTAAGATTTATCATTACCAGTTCTAAATGTCTTAGTTGCTATGTCTTACATAAACAAATCTCAAGATTGGAAATTTATTCAGACTTCATACTATGTTGCTTTGGAACAAAATCATCCACCCTGTAAGAAGAGAACCACATCTATATTGCAATTGTGAAAAATCAGTAACATTTTTGACAATAGGATTAAATTGTTGCAAATTGCACTTCAACTTAACCATAAATAAATAAAAAAATTCTTAGCACATGCAACAGAAAACAGGTAATCAGCATTAATAACCATTACAGCCTAATCAGAAATCAAACACTATCATAGGCTATAAAGTATTTTTATGAACCTCTGTTTGGAATAAGCTTATCATGAATTCACAATCAGACTACTAACAGAATATGCTAAGCATTTGTTCACCTTGAAACTTTAATGAACTATTACATTTTCATGAGTATAATTAGCCAGTTTGGCTTGTGTTATTGGGAGATATTGTTCAGAAAACATTTGGAATGCATCATTCTTCCACAGCTGAAGAGGAAACATAATACACACACTCTGTTTTATAAGAATTTGAAAGAATCCTGCTAGATTCATATAAATGGCCTTTCCCCCCAATACACAGTTGCCATGTAGGTGAATTCACAAGGAACACAACTTTGGACAAGAGGTATCTACCCACTTCCAATGTTATACTCTACAGATGTAATTTAGGAGATACAATAACCATTGATAAATGGCTACTGATGGCTATTGATTCTTCCCAAATCTGTCTATTCCTCTTTTGCAACAGATTAAAATAGTGG